AAAAAAAAAAAAAAAAAAAAGTGGCCTGGGGTAAACAGGACAGTCGTATACTCCAAGAATGGAAATTTTCATGCCACCTCCCTTCCTTCCTTACAAATTCTAATGCTGATTGCATGAATGAGGTGTTGAGAGAGACTTTTCTTTTCTTCATTTAGACTTTTGCCCTAGTGAATGAGGGAGCAAGAGAATGCTAAGAGGGATGAGAGAATGTATTTCTGGCTCTAGGACTTTGAGATCCAGGTAATTGAATCTGGGACATTCTCATTAGGTTAGAAAAGGAAAGATGAGAAAATCACTAGCAGGATATGCAATTCCAGAGACCATCGGCTCCAAAAATTAGTTTTGTTTCTCATTGCTCCTTATTCAGCGACAGTTATTTCAATAAGCTACATTATTTAGCAGAGTCTGAGAGACAAAGGCTGTGAAAACATGTACTTAAGATAGAAAACAAACTTAGAAAAACATAATAGACAGTTCGCTTTTTATCTCATTCACATTCTATAGCTGGAGAACTCAAAATCCCATTTAGATATTTCTGCTTATCCAAAAGCACACTGGGTGAAACTAAACCAAGAAATGGGAGAAAATGTTCATTGGGTACGTGTGGGTTCACCCAGTTTATTTACCTATGGAGTGGAGGTGTAGGGAGAAATAAGGTCTGCTTATAATGGTCAAGGTCTATGGAGAAGCCCTGAAGTTGTTCTCCCCAAATCACAAGTCTGATTCAAGAAAAGGAAACAAAAATGATGAAAACATCTCATCACACAAAACTCAGTGATGGGGTCTCTGACAGTCACCAGCCAGCAGGGGAAAAGGAGAAATCCACCTGCTGGCTTTAAGATTTATTGAAGGCTGCCAGCACAGCCCAGATCATTTCTGTGGCACTAGGCTTTGTCCCTTCCACTTCAGGGTCCAGTTCTACTAAGTCCTTGGCTCGATTCATTGCTACGTCATACTTGTCATCTGTCAGAGAGGAGAAGACATTCTCTAGCACATCAGAGGAGTGAGCTAGCACCAGGAGTGCTAGTGTTCGCTTGTCCATACGCTGAGGGTCATTTACCCACCGCTCTAGTACACTATCTTGAAGTTTTTTCACTAGGCGCTGTTTCTCTGTTGTATTGGTCACTGGATGAGTAGTCATGTCAAATAGCAGGAAATTCTGCTTCTCAGTGGTTAGAATACCCTTCTCTACTAGGTTCTTTGCAATGCGCTCTCGTACATTTCTCAGCTGGTACTGTAATTTGAAGGGGTTCCAGGTCTCACCTATGAGAAAAAAGAAATAGGACATAATGAACAGAAAGAGAAAAGCAAAATGAAACATGTAGTTATCTGGAACCTTGAATGGCTAAAATGATTAAAAGCATAATCTTCATTCCTCAATTCATTTAATCCTTAGTCCTTTATAATCTGGCTTTGACTCTAACCATATTTCACATTAAACCAGCTTCAAAAAATGTCACCAAGGACTTCCATATTGCTAGAGCTTATGGACTTTATTTCTGTTCTTATGTGACCTCTCTGTGACACTGTAATTATTTATGTATTTTTGAAATTCTCTTTAGGACACCAGTCTCTCCCAAATGATTTCTACTCTGTATTGCAGAACTTCTATTTGCTGGTGAAGCTGAGAGGACTGAGGTTCCCTACCCTATTTGTAGATCAGAAGCTCTATCCCAGGCCTGGTAGGCTGACAATATTGAGACTTCAATTGCTCCCATTCCAGTTTGTTCATAGATTAGAGATTCTGCAACAGAAAAGGCAAGCCAAGAAGACCAGGGGCTAACACCTCTTTCTCCCAGCACCTACTCATAGAACAGGTGGGTATCACTATAGGAGAAGTGGGCCCTTGTGCAGAAGTTCTGCCCAGGAGGGAAGGAAGGCCTGAAGAATGAAGAGCTCCAAAACTCTGCCTGAGAGGACTGACTTTATTTGGAACACAGGGTGGAGAATCTATGCCTAAGGGTGTTGAAAACCATACAGATCTTGGTGGAAAGCAATTATAAGGGTGCTGCTAGCTCTATGGCACTGGTATGACAAACCCAAATGGCAAAGCCTCCAGAAGTTTAACAGGCAGAACCAGAGAAACAGCCAAGAAAAGCCCTTCTGGAATCATGACCAACACTGGGGGTTGGGAAGAATGTGTGCTTGCACCAGGCTGCACCCACTCAGAAGCAATCAGAGCAGGACGTGGGGCTTGACTTGAGAGTATTCCCCAGGCCACACATAGATCTATCAAAAAGGGTGGATGCTTCACTGGCACCAAGGGCTAAAGCACAACCACTGACCAAACACTGGCTGAACAATAAGCTACACTAACTCAGAGGCAACTCCTAGGAAGCTAAACTTAAAAATAATAATAATAACCAGGCGTAGTGGTGCATGCCTCTAGTCCCAGCTACTTGGGAGGCTGAGGCAGGACAATTGTTTGAACCCAGGAGGCAGAGGTTTCAGTCAGCTGAGATTGCGCCACTGCACTCCAGCCTGAGTAACAGAGCGAGACTTCATTTCAAGAAATGAAAAATAAAAAATAAAAATAAAGAAATCACATGCACCCCTGGTGTATATCCAAGGATGTACTACTCTCTCTCAGAAGAAATCAGAGAGGGAACTTCTAAGTTGCTAGTTTCTTGCTGAATGTGGGGCAAAATGTAAACTCCCTGATTTGTGATGGCTGTGTCAAAATCACACACACATATCCAACAGTAAAGGATAAAAAAATTTAATTGGCTAAAAGGTCTTAAGCACAACCTTTGACTAATAAGTGGCTTCTACTGACCCACTGGCAACACATAGGGAGTTAGGCCAAAAGATAAAAACAAGAAAATATGAGCAGTGACATCAGAGGTTGCACAGTACAAGAGAAACAGACTTCAGAGAGCTACTGCAGGCAAGTCACTAATGAAACAAATTACCAAGCAAACAACACAATCAACCTCTAGTGGAAGGAGAAACCAGTATAGCAGGTGTCTCCAACCCCTGGATCATGGACTGGTACTGGTCCGTAGCCTGTTAGGAACCCGACTGCACAGCAGGAGGTGAACCATGGGTGGGTAAAGCTGAGCTCCACCTCCCGTCAGCTCAGCAGTGGCATTAGGTTCCCACAGGAGTGTGAACCCTATTGTGAACTGCACATGGCAGGGATCTAGGTTCCATGTTCCTTGTGATACTCTAATAAATGCAAAGCACTTGAATCATACTGAAACCATCCCCTCGTCCCCCACCCCAGTGGAAAAATTATCTTGCATGAAACCTGTCCTGGTGCCAAAAAGGTTGGGGACAGCTACAGTATACTATCCAGAGGTGCACGATTATCTAAAATGTCCAGTTTTTGACAAAAAGGTATGAAGTATACAAAGAATAAATTGTGACCCACTAACCCATTGAGAAGAAAAAAAGCAGGCAATGGAAACTGCCTTTGAGAACGCTAAAATGTTGGACTTTACAAAGACTACAAAGCAGCTTTTATAAATATGTTCAAAGACCTAGGAGAAACCATCACTCATCACACAGAGAATATCAATAAAGACAGAAATTATAAAAAAGAACCATTTAGGCCGGGTGCGGTGGCTCATGCCTGTAATCCCAACACTTTGGGAGGCTGAGGTGGGCGGATCATTTGAGGCCAGGAGTTCAAGACCAGCCTGGCCAACATGGCGAAACCCCATCTCTACTAAAAATACAAAAATTAGCCAGGTGTGGTGGGAACCTGTAATCCCAGCTGCTCAGGAGGCTGAGGCAGAGAATCGCTTGAACCTAGGAGGTGGAGGCTGCAATAAGCCGAAATAGCACCACTGCACTCCAGCCTGGGCAACAAAGCAAGACTCCATCTCAAAAAAAACAAAAACAAAAAAACCATTTAGAAATCCAAGAGTTTAAAAGTACAACAAACAGACTGGGCATGGTGGCTCACGTCTGTAATCCCAGCACTTTGGGAGGCTGAGGCAGGCGGATTACTGGAAGTCAGGAGTTTGAGACTAGCCTGGTCAATATGGTGAAACCCTGTCTCTACTAAAAATACAAAATTAGCTGGGTATGGTGCTGTGTGCCTGTAGTTCCAGCTACTCAGGAGGCTGAGGCAGGAGAATCACTTGAACCCAGGAGGCGGAGGTTGCAGTGAGCCAAGATCGCACCATTACACTCCAGCCTGGGTGACAGAGCAAGACTCAAAAAAAAAACAAGTACAACAAACAAAATGAAAAATTCACTCAAGGGACCCAACAAGAGATCTGAGCTGGCAAAATAAAGAATCAGCAAACTTAGAGATCGAAGTTATTATGTAATATGAAAAAGGAGAAAAGAATGAAGAAAAATGAACAGACTCAGAGAAATGCGAAATATCATCAACTTGACAAACGTACATAAAATGGAAGCACCAGAAGGAGAGAAAGAGGCAGAAAAAATACCCAAGGAAGTAATGGCTAAAATCCTGCCAAATATGATGAAAAACAGTCAACCACACATTTGAGAAGCTCAACAAACTCCAAGTAGGATGAACACAAAGAGACCCATATCCAACATCATAGTAAAAATGCTGAAAGCCAAAAATAAGTGGAAAATCATGAAAGCAGAAGAGAAAAATGACTGATCACATCACAGTGGAAGTTTGATAAGCTTAACAGCTGGCTTCCCATTAGAAAAAATGCAGGCCAGAAGAATGAGTAGACTTATTCAAAGTGAGGGTAGAAACTATTAGCCAAGAATCTTATAACTGGCAACTATCTTTCAAAAATAAAAGCAAAGCAGGTGTGGTGGCATGCACCTGTAGTCCCAGCTACTCAGGAGGCTGAGGCAGGAGAATCACTTGAACCCAGGAGGTGGAGGTTGCAGTGAGCTGAGATCGCGCCACTGCACTCCAGACTGGGTGACAGAGTGAGACACTGTCTCAAGGAAAAAAAAAAACAAAAAAAAACCCAAAACCAAAACAAAAAAAAAATGAAGGCAAAGAAAAATTTCTAAAAAGGAGAAAAAATAAATACATTCCTAGATTAAAAATATCTGAAAGAGTTCACTGCTAGCAGACCTGCCTTATAAGAAATCTTAATACTAAACTAAAGGAAAGTTGTTGAGGCTGAGAGCAGGACACACTAGACAGTAATTTGAATCCACATGAACAAACAGTAAAAGTAATTATGTAAGTAATAAAAAGGATGGTATAATTGAATACTTCATCTCAACTGATTTATAAAGCAATTGCACAAAACAATATTTATATAATTGTTATTGTTGAGTTATAATTTTTAACTTTTTAAACTTTTGCACAAGGTTATAACATATAGAAATGTAATAATAGCACAAAGAAAAAGGGTGGGAAAAAAGTTGCACTGGAGTAAGCAAAATGACAACAGATGGTAATTTGAATCCGCCGGAAGAAATGAAGAAAACCAGAAATGGTAAATAAGGAGGTTAATATAACAAACTCTGTAAGTATATATTTGTGCTTTCTTCTCTTCTTTAATAATTACAACAATGAATTGTTGAATTTGTAACACATATAGATGTAACACATGTAACAATATTGGCATGGTGGGCCCATGCCTGTAATCCCAGAACTTTGGGATGCCGAGGTAGGCAGATTGCTTGAGCCCAGCAGTTTAAGACCAGCCTGGGTAGCATAGTGAAACTTTGTCTAAAAAAAAAAAAAAGAAACAAAAACCCCAAAGCCAAAAAAACCCAAAAAGAAAAGAAACATATAGCAATATTAACACAAAAAGAGGGAGAGGGAATAGAGTAATACAGAAGTAAATTTTCCTTGGAATTAAACTTGGTATAAATCTTTTTTTTTTTTGAGACAGAGTCTTGCTCTGTTGCCTAAGCTGGAGTGCAGTGGCGCGATCTCGGCTCACTGAAACCTCCGCCTCCCAGGTTCAAGCTATTCTCCTGCCTCAGCCCCCCTGAGTAGCTGGGATTACAGGCACACGCCACCATGCCCAGCTAATTTTTTTGTATTTTTAGTAGAGATAGGGTTTCACCATGTTGGTCAGGCTGGTCTGGAACTCTGACTTCGTGATCCGCCTGCCTCAGCCTCCCAAAGTGCTGGGATTACAGACGTAAGCCACAGGGCCCGGGCTTTTCTTTTTTTTTTTGAGACAGAGTCTCGTACTGTCGCCTGGGCTAGAGTGCAATGGCACGATCTCGGCTCACTGCAACCTCTGCCTCCCGGGTTCAAGCGATTCTCCTGCCTCAGCCTCCTATGTTGGATTTACTGGAGAAAAACTTGAAAGCAACCTTTTTTTTTTTTTTTTTTTTTTTTTTGAGACAGGGTC